GAATGCCCACTGGCGTTTGTCAGCCCTCCACACTATCTTTCTTTATATGTGAGGGCTGATTTCCCGCAGACATCATTGTTATGATGGCTCATTTAATCAAACTGTTTAATTGCTCCGGTAATCACTATCATCATCACAGGTACTCAATCATTCATCATTTTTGAGGGGTTTATTGACCTCTGGAGCTCATAGCCTACGCCTATTAAAATCAGGCCAAATATCTGTAACTACCCCTCGAGTCATTTTCTTAAAGTTTTGCTGGGGTTTTTTTGTTTGGGTTGTTTGTTTTTTATAAAATTAAAAATCTTAAAACCATCGTCATCATCACGAAGAGTGAAACAAACCCAAACAAAATCTATCTGATTAAATCACCTTTTTCTGCTGTGTATTTTTAAAAGCCATCTATGTATGAGGCCACATTCACAACTGGGTACATAATCATTGATAAATCCCACTATTAACGAGATAGTCTGTTTTAGATTTTATGTGCAGGGGACCGTGAACGAGGGTGGGGGGTTGGGGAGGACAAAACTGCAGCAATCGATAGTTTGACCATCGCTCCTCCCCTAAACTTCAAGCAACCCCCATGATTGATGATCCCGCGTAGCTTTGGTAATTGACTGTTCGGAGGTAAGGCATGTAGTAGCTCCAGCAAAGCGATTGGGCGAGGGAAACACACCAAAATTATCGTGTGTGTGTGTGTGTGCGCGCGTGTGTGTTTGGAAAAGTTGGTGCTCAAGGGTGGGGGGTGCATCATCTCACTTAATTTGCTAAATAACCCCATGTAATTAGCACTACCATTAGAAGGCATTACCGAGCTAATACTTCAGCATACATTCCACAACCACAACGTCGATATACGGCAAAGTCCAGCAACATACACACATAAATACAGTGCTCACCGCCGGATCCGCTCAAAATGAACACGCAAACAAAAATATACGTAACATCTGGATCTCTCCTACAAAAGGCTGAGCATGACTTTGTTTTTAAGCCCCTTTCAAAGGCTGGCAGCCTAATCGCAAAACTAAAAGGGATTTTCCCCTCTTTCCCCGCCTCTCCCCTCCA